GCATGAGCTTTCGTGGGTGAATATCCACTAAGTGGATATTCACCCACGAAAGCTCATGCTCCAATACGTCTGTTAGTCTATAAGGTGCCACAGGACTCTTTGCTGCTAGTCTAAGGTAGGAGGCCTGGTTTGTGGTAAGGGCTATTGAGTGCCTAGAATTAACAGCAGTCAGTGGAAGAGCTGGACTAGACTGCATGGCCTCCTGCCAGCTCCCAGCCAGGAGGCTGCTCCCCATGTGTAGCATTCCTTGTCATTGAGGAGCAGTCACTTATTCTCTCACAAGGGTACCCCAGAGGAGTAGGAAGAGAGTGAGCAGAGAAAGTAGCCCATCCCTCAGACCTAGCAGAAGGTGGTGATGGGGGAGCCTGGAAAAAAGAGCAGGAAATCCAAGGCCACTCCAGGAGCATCTGCGGAGAAGAGTGCTGGAGGATTTTGGAGATGGAGGAGAGGAAAGGGCAGGCCAGCCTGAGGCAGCTGCTCCAATTATACAGCTTTCTTCATTCTATTCATCCCCCATAGACTGCCTGGCTCCTAACGCTGCTCCCTGTCACCCCCAGGCCTGCCCTGTTTGCCCCCAACCCCCCTGCCTGCATCCATACTGGGCCACTTCCTCCTTCTCCCTCCACATTGCCTGGATGCTAGAAGCAGGGCCAGCTCCAGCATTTCTGCCACCCCAAGCAAAAAAAAAAAAGCCACGATTGGCGGCGGCAGTTCAGCGGCAGGTCCTTTGCTCCTAGAGGGAGTGAGGGACCTGCCACCCCCGAATTGCTGCAGGTGCCGCCCCTCTCCCTTGGCCGCCCCAAGCACCTGCTTGTTAAGCTGATGCCTGGAGCCGGCCCTGGCTAGAAGGAGAGCAAAGTAAGCACAGGAAAAAGCCTTCCTGCTGGGCCCAGTGCCTGGGCCCGCAACAGCCCCAGCAACCAGGAGCAGCAATTGAAGGGAAAGTTTTTCAGCCCTGCAGCACTACTGGATGCATGAGATCCAAGCTAGGTAACAGACTGCATGCAGGGGGGGAATAATGTCATATACCCCAACACAGGACATTCTGCATTTCTGCTGGAGGGAACGCTGCTGCTGCTGAGCAGGATGTTCTCTGTGCATTCTAGGGGTTGGTGCATGCTCAATATAGACAAGTGTCAGAGATTTTAGATGCCAGCCTTAAACTCACTAAGCATATGGAAACTACCATTTTCAGAAGCTTATAACTTGCCCATATCCAACCGATTTCCACGGGAACAGAAAAATGTACCTCTCACTCCAATGCTAGCCCTGTCAAGTTTAAAATCCTTGCTCCAAAGCATGGAGGTGCTAGAGCTTCTCAAAACAGCTTTAAGAATTTAACATTGGCAAGACAACCTAATTTTCTCCAGTCTTGCTCTTGGCAGTGGCTGGACCATTTTTGCTGAAATGTAGTAAAATATTCAGCCTGAGGCAGAAACTCCATCACATGGAAAATTTCAACCCAAATGGTTTTTTAGCTTATAAGCACTGACTACGGGTGCCATTGCCAGAACTGTCTATAATTATTTCAGAGGAACATTTACATTAAGACTTGTTAAAACAAGTACATCAGAACTTGGTTTAATGCAAAAATCAGATGAGCACATTCACTTTGGACTTTGTTACTATGTTACCTGTAGTGAAAAAGTTAGTGCAAGTTCGGTTTCCACATGTCCGCTTGGTGGTAGCACAATTTCATGAGATCGTAGTATTCGCTTCGAGCCCTACACAGAAAGAAAACCTGGTAAGGTAAAGGTCTGAGTATCAGTCCAGGCTTATTCCTTTCACCCTTTGGGAACTGGCTAGTGCAACCTGGCTCATTGCCAAGGTTTGGACGTGATGAACAAGGGGCACTCTTGCAGACAGCAGGGTTTGTGGTGAAAAGATGATAGAACCTCAGTGTTCCAAACACCTCAGGAATGGAGGTTGCTGATAACTCAAACGTTCGTAACTCTGAACAAAACATTATGGTTGTTCTTTGAAAAGTTTACAACTGAACATTGACTTAATACAGCTTTGAAACTTTACTATGCAGAAAAAAAAATGCTCCTTTCCCTTTTTATAGTAGTTTACATTTAATACAGTACTGGATTTGCTTCCCCGCCCCCTCCCCCCAGTTGCTGCTTCCTGATTGTGTACTTCCAGTTCGAAATTAGGTGTGTGGTTGACTGGTCAGTTTGTAACTCTGGTGTTTGTAACCCTGAGGTTCTACTGTATGGTGCTGCTGGATGGAAGCTAAAGGTAGTCCAGCTTGAAGCTAGTCATGCTCTGCTCCCTGACACCATCTACACCCTATCCCCCAGCCACCCTTTCCCTTGTGTTGCCTCCCCTGTTGCCAAACCCATTTCTACATCAGGCAGCACCAAGGGAAGCAGCAGCTTCTCCCAGCAGAGCAGGGACACAGAGGGGCTCTATGCTGAGCAGCAGACAGGCTGCAAGAGTGAAGTGGGATCCCTGTTCAGGGATAGAGGCCTATTCAAACAGCCATCATGGGTGCCAGTAAAGGGGAGATGAGGCCTCATCTGAAAGAAATGGAGGTAGCTGTAGGAATGGCTCATGTGCCACATAGCGGGAGCGCCCTAGACTAGTACCATTTATTGAGGACATGGGAACTTCTCCTTAGGGATCTATGGCAAAGTGATTATAACAGTATTGTATGGTAAATTTAAAAGTAAGCTGTCACTTGAAATTTCTGGGGGTTTTCTTGGTCCTGCTGCCAGGCTGGGGGTCTCCACAGGGAAGCGCACAATCTGGGATCAGCAGCAGTGAGTCTGCAGACAGTTCACAGTACAGTGGAGGTGAGTTGTGTCTGTTTTCAGGAGCGCCCCACTTTGTTGCTCTGGCTTTGGGTTCTTAGGTGTTACTGTTCTGAAATCTAAGGAAAATATTGTGCTACACTGCAGCCTTCCAGCAAGAATACGTTTTTAATCTAACTTGTCTCTGTTTATGCTGTGAACATAACAGTAACAGATTGACTATGCCCTCTTCCAACAAAGACCTACCCAGATGAAAAGCAAAGCACTTGGCCATTGGGGGATTTGGACATATTTGCAGTTAGTAATACAGTAGTAGCATACAGCAATATTTCTGCAGCACCAGCCCCAAATGTTCAAAAAGCATGTGATTCTTTTTAAAAATAATCTTATGATTTTTAAGCTAATAAATAGAGGGTTCTTTTTATCTGCCTGCTGGGTTTTGAGTCCTTAGGTCAGGTTTACCAGCTTCTCTGCAACCATTAAAGATATAAATTAACTTCTAAAATGAAAGCTGAGATTCTCTCCTAATCAAATGACTTTGGCGGCTGGGACTTTAAGAGAAAACACCAAACACTAAGACTTGCAATAAGACTGGGAGAGCTGATGTGACTGATAATAATATATGAATAGCGCATGCTAACTGTATGACTATATTGGTGCAACTCTACAGGTGGCTGTCAGCAAAAATAAGCAGGAAGGAAAAAAGAGTTCAAGTTAAGCTACACTCCAGCAAACACTTGAGGGCTACTAAAGGACAGTGGCACAGCTATAACCTCCAACGACTCCGGCTTGATTCCCGTTCAGCCTACAGAAGGGTCAAAGGCCAGGAACACAAAAGAACTATGCAGGGTTTAAAAGGGACCCTCAGAAGTGGGGACAGTTTTTCAGGGGAAACCAGATAAAGAGCTACTCAATCAGGGCTGTCTGAAGAAGGTAGGTTTGCCTGCAGTACTACCTGGGGACTGCAAGCCTTGAGACAGGGGACGTGTGTGTGTAGACAGTTTTAAAATCCTCCCTGAATACTTTGTTTCTACCGTTAAACACTACTTGGGTTTTTAAGAAGGCTGTCTGGTCTCTGTATACAACTGGTCAGACTCCTGAAGGAAGAACTGCAGGTGTCTGAACTCAGTCAGACCTGTAGGTTATTGGTGGATGCCCAGGGGGCTGTATCCCAGGGCTTGGTCTAAGAATGGGAGAATTCTCACCCCAGGAGAAGTAAAAGCAAGAAGCCTGACACTTGAGTGTGTGCACTCAGCTGAGAAAAGGGAGAGAGGGGCACCCAGCCCTGCAACCATGACCATTATCAACACAGATGTTCTGTCAGTGCCAGACCTCCTCCTAGTTGTGACAGTGTGGCTTTATTTGTTATGCCATGCAGAGACTATATAATAAAGGACCAACACAGCTGCCTCCTGAATATACCACTGTATTCAAAGCAGACAAAAGGGACCCGAATGTCCGATAAAGTCTCGGGAAATGCTGTTGAATAACAAAGTCCAAAAGGGTCTCCCCAGGACAGGTACAGGCCTGGGAGGTGTTGGCAAAGCTGGGCTAGTTAAGATGGCATTTTGTCATGTCCTTTGGAAGGAATCGAGGATTTGATTGTAACACTGTATCTTTGCAATTCTCTTTATAAAAAAGTGGATTAAGTCACTAGACTGAAAGCTCATGCACTTGGCGAACCGATATCACTGACATCTGAAAATGGCCTCCGTATGAGGAACTTGAGCTCATGTGCACCAAGTGACCCCAAAAGAGCTTTATCAGCACATCTGAATATTCAAATGTGTCAAGACCACAAACCTATTGACTGCATCTGGTGCTGCAGAGACACTGGTCCACCTTCAATTAGTTCATCATAGGACAAAATAAATGTGGATGGTAATCAGGTGACAGTACAAGGTCAGCTCAATGGCACCCACACACAAAGCAGTAGCTGTAGCCGCCACATCCCCTACAAAGGCCATCTGGAGATAATGCAAGGCCAGGTCAATGATGGGTGAGAGGAAGGATGGTCCCGTGGTTACAATTCTAGCTTGGGACTTGAGAGTAGGGTTCCAGTCCCTGCTCTGCCACAGATTTCCTGCAGGACCTTGGGCAAGTCACTTAGTTGCTCCGTGCCTCAGTTTCCCATCTATACAATGGGATAATAGCCCTGCCCTGCCTCACCAGGGGGTTGTGAAGTTAAACACATTAAAGATCGGGAGGTGCACAAATGTTATGGTGACAGGGGCCAGAGAAGTACTCAAACTGTTTCCATCATGCCCTTTTCCCCCCATATACTTAATACTTTCCAGGAATTTGCTACTTTTGCTGTTTTACTGTCTATACCACAGGATTTTTTTTTTTTTAAACTTTGAGAAAAACTCTCCCTACAGTGAAAACAGCTGCCTCTTCAGACCTGAAATTTGGCACGCCCATGGTGTTGTGTGTGTGTAGTTCACATGCTGCTCAGTCTCAGGAAGGGCGCATGTAAGTGACAGGACGATCATTTGGGAGCGTGAGCAGTGGAACAGAGCTAAGTGATACAAGCCCCAGATGGGTTTGGAACCCCTCTCCACAAGCCCCTTGCTCACCTGTGAGAAGGGGCTCAATAAATCCCTTGGCTCCTGAAGGCAAGGGGGTACAGAGCCCCTTGCTCCGGCTCAGGATACCCATGTGGGGTAGGCACTGCAAGGCTCCCTCTCTGCCTCCCGCCAATATTCCTTCTAGCTGGTGCCTGAAATCCCCACAGCCCTGAACTGCCAGCTTCCTTCATCTCACTATTAGGGGCACAGAGGGGAACTGGTTGCTATGGGGCTATGAGGAGCACCAGGAAGCCCCTTCCCCTCCCCCCACATCCCTCCCCACAGATACCTTAACCCTCCCTATCAAAAACTGAGCGTATGTACGATTCCCACCTCCTCTTGGCGATATAACCTGAACTGTGCTGCATAGGAATGGCGAGCAGTGTGATTAGCTTCACTAACTCTATTTCCTGCTTTTCTAGCAGCTGTATGCGGTTTTTCCTCAGCCAACATTCTCATAAGGGGCACTGAAATCTGTTTCCTGATATCCGAGCATAGGGGTTCTGGAAACTGAATGCCCTCATTCTGGAAGGGTACGAGGAACACCGAATTAACAAAGCTGTTCGGATGCCTGTTCGTTAGAGAAGGGAGGGGACGAAGAAAATCTGTGATGGAAACATTTTTGGATTTAAAGAGGAAGTGGCAGAATCGGTACCCCAAATAGCAACAGACCTGCTAGGGCCTGCTGGAGATAAGGACTTGACAGCCTCAACGTGCACAGATGAGGTTGTAGCAGTGTTTCTCGCTGCTCTCAGAGTGGTAGTGACAGCTGGTTGAATCTGTAGCTCGGTATTTGAATATTCTGAGTCTTCTTGTAAGGTGAACCCTTCAAGTTTAAACTTTTGGGCTAACATGTTTTCTTTTGACACAACTACTAAGTTCTCTGCAGGGTTTCTGGCTGCAGCAGCAGATTTAATCAACTTCAGCTCAAGATTAATGAGGTTTTATGCCTGGGAATCGCGTTAGCTTTTAAACAAGGCTTAAGCACTGTTCAGTGACAGGAATCCCTGTACGTTGGGCTGAGCTTACAAGTAGACCAGGAATGGACCCCATTGGACTCCTGCCTACATGCAAACTGATGTATATACACAGTATGTACAAAATCAAGGCACTAATTTAGACACTTACAGGTCCATATAACACACTTACAATGCAAGTTCATACACTTTAAAATATATATTATTTTAAAGTCAAGTGATATCCATTCTCTTGCATGTTGCACCTCTTTGAAACCTATGAAAAGTCACTGTTACCAGGACTACTGTAGCAGTGCAGTTGGTAAGTGATTCTATAGTTATTACGAAGCAAAAAAGCACAAGGAAAATCCTTTGAAAGTGCAAAAGGGAGCACGTTAACTCTTGCCCTTCTGTAGCTCCATTTGACTGGCCCTAAGCTATCTAGGAGGGGAAAAACCTCTGTTCTGCCCTGAGACAAGATGTAGCATGTAAAATAGGTCAAGAGGTTGAGTTTTGATGAAGTTGGGAGAATGAGGGTTTGCAACAGAAACTCAGTTTCATAATATAAAGCTACTTTTGGCCTTAACGATGGAAAGTCTAACTCACCCTGTGACGATATACTTAAATAGACAGTGGAACTACACAAGAAAGGGAAAATTGTCAAGATCTTACTCACGTACCTAACACTGCACAGCTACCTAAACAGCGTATTGTATTAGTGGAATAGTAGGTGATCATCTCCTTGTACAAGATGCGTTACAAGATGCAGCCTTAATTTTCATATTTCTTGACATTTCAGCACTTAACACTGCAGCTGTAGTGTTGCACTTACCGTTAAAGGTAGGCTAAGTGTTAAATGCAAGTTACCTGCATTTTGACTGCAATGACCACAGAAATGAGCTCCTTATCCAATTCCTTTAAGACGACCAATTTCTTTAAAGTCAAGGTACACAACCTGTAAGCAAGAACACAGGAGAAGCAGCTATGAGTTATGCCTGGAAAAGGAAAGGATATAAAGTCAGAGCACCCTGGAGGTACAGCATGCCCTTGAGATGAATTTCTTCCTTTTCCTTTTATGTATTGGAGAACAGAGTACAGACTACTGACCCACAAGCTTGGTTTAAAAACAACAAGTTCTTTAAGCCAGACAATCAATAGAATTTAGAGTGCACATTTTCAAGTGTGTTGGCTATTTCACTTTGCAACTCCTGGCCCATGAAGACCTACCTTCTACCTGTTTGTCAATTGCTGCGTTCATGATTTCTTTTAAAAGTTAATAAGCAGTTCTGGCCACCCAAATGGAAAAAACAGGGATTTAAGCTCTTCCCTCTGCCGTTGGCATGCTAAGCAGATGAAAGTAGTGTCACACGCCACACACTGCTACGTTGCTTTGGTCAAAGCTGTTAAGAACATAAGAATGGCCATATTGGGTCAGACCAGTGGTCCATCTAACCCACTATCCTGTCTCTGACCATGGCCAGTGCCAGATCTTTTCAGAGGGAATTAACAGAACAGGGCAACTTATGGAGTGATCCATCCCTGTTATTCAGTCCCAGCTTCTAGCAGTTAGAGGTTTAGGGACACCCAGAGCATGGGGTTGCGTCCCTGACCATCTTGGCTAATAGCCACTGATGGACCGATCCTCCATGAACTTCTCTACACTTGCAGCGGTTTTCTGCTCTAAGTTTCACTGGTGACAGGGAATTGGTGAAAGTAAAGCGCTGGTTTGTGTACTCAATTCCTCAGGCGTCAGAGAGTGTTTACATTAGCAGCACTTCCATCACAGATGAGAGCAGCGCTCTAGGGCAGCTATCCCACAGTGCAGCTCTCTTCAGTTTGACGATGGGTCTTGTGGGAAGGGGGCTGGGGGGTGATCACAGGCATCCTGGGTCCCTGCACAGCCTCCTCCTCCCCAAACACTGATAAGCTCCAGTAGCTCAGCATGGCTCCATGCAGGGGATCACTTGCTCCGTGGAGCAGGCATTGTCACCTGGCCAGATACGTGAGCACTTGCCAATAAAACAGGAAGGGGAGTTTCAAAATTCCCGGGGCTTTACAGGGGGAGGGGTGGATGTCTGTTTACCTGGCATCAGAGCAGCAGAGCTGCTGGCTAGAGTGGTCACCTAGGCACTGTGGGATATCCTCCGGAGGCTAAAAGCTGTGTAAACAGGAAGAACGTGTCTTCACTTGCACATCACCGCAAAAGCATCACCGGTAAGAGCTGTACACCTCTCATGAAGGTGGTTTTCTTTTTGAGGTGAAACTTCTGAGTTTCACTGCAAAAAGTCATTAACAAGTGTAGACGCTCCCATGGTTTTTGAGCAAGAAAGGGATTTTTTCTGCTTTAAAATGGCAAGTGTAGATATGCCCTAATTCTTTTTTGAACAGTGTTATACTTTTTGGCCTTCACAATGGTAACGAGTTCCTCAGGTTGAGTGCATGTTGTCTGAAGTACTTCCTTGTTTGTTTTAAACCTGCTGCCTATTAATTTCATCAGGTGACCCCCCCATTCTTGTGTTATTTGCTGTCATTAGTGATCCAATACCATTGTGCATTGAAATAATTCCTTGTATAAAGTACAGATGGAATTAGTGCAATACACAAATGTTAATATCAAGAAACAAGCATTAGTGTCTGGATTTTAATATTGGGCTGGCCAGAAAGAAGCCCATCCTCTCTGCATGCTCAGGGAAGATCCTGCTTTACTCAGCCATTTCTCAGACACCTCTTCCCAGCACAGCTCCTAGGTATGACTTCTCCTAGAAGCAGTGTATAAGGCTTACAACTCTACATTTTGGCTTGGTGTTTGGTGTGCATGATTCCATCAGATCCTCTCTCTCTATGAGAACAACAGGGACTCCAATTTCTTTGGAGTTATCCTCTTAACTCTCCACATTTGTATTGTCTATGCCTGTATTTTTTTTTTTTGATGGTCCTCGTCATCACAGATATTGCCATTCCTCAGCATGAGTTATGCCAGGCTGCAAGGAGATGCTCTGGTCTCACAAGAGATCAGATGTGAAAGGCAGCAACTAAGCAGATTCTGCACCCACCCGTATTACTTTGCTCCAATTCAATACTGCCCATAGGTCAATGGTCCCCAAACTATGGGGCATGCCCCCCTCGGTTGGCCCAGGCCAGCCCCCATGGAGGGTGGGAGGGAGCACCACCCAGCCCTGATCTACTCCAGATTACATTATAGGTAACGGGGGCAATGAAAAAAAAAGTTTGGGGGCCACTGCCATAGGTGAAAGGAGCCTAGTCAATTTCCTTTAAGAGACCCACTGATTAATGGAAAATCTTTTGGAACAAAAGAGGAGAGGACAATTTGGTGAGCAATTCACACCCCCCACCCCATGCCCTCGCACCATAACTATATACAAAGCTGCCCCCTACAGTGCATGCAGAAGCAGCAAGCGTGGAACTGACAAGCTTACTCCATTTTATTCCTCTCGTTTGGCCATTGGGAAAATGAGTGCTGCTCTACATGAAGCACATTCCTGTGCTACTAGCAACACCTGGGAGTGAGAGGAGATCAATAGACAGTTGATCCAATCACCTCCTTCCCATGTGTGTCCTATCCTATACTCCCAGTAAGAGCGGAGGACCTTGTCTCTCATACATCTGTACATTGCACTTCCTGCCCCAGCAAGAGCAGGAAATGAAACTGATCCATACTGTGTTGGTTTCATTCCCTGGCTGCTGCTCCTGCAAGCATTGCATGAACAGGGCCTGAAGGTCATTGAGTCCCCTGGTACTGCTAGCGGCCCTGTCATATAACCTTGGTCACAAACTCATCAAGCTGCATCTTCAAACTAGTTAGGTCGTTTGCCCCAACAGCTTCTATTGGGATGCTGCTCCAGAACCTCTCTCTTCTGATGGTTAGAATTTGGCTTTGGAGCGGAGCCCGGAGCTGGAGCGCGGAGCAGCCCCGGAGCAGTGGAGCTGCAGGTTTTTACCTGGAGCTGAGCCGGAGCACAGCTCCAAAGCCCTAGAAACCTAATTTCCAACCTAAATTTACTTAGGGACACTATTCCATTTGTTCTTGTGCCAACATTATCTAGCTTCCACAGCTCCTCTTCCTCCCTGGTGCTTATCACTTCAGCAGGACCAGCAGCACACACTCCATGCTGGGAGCAGGGACACCTGCCAAAGGGGGCAAAGGGCCCCACATCAGACCAAACTGGAGACTGGCGAGGCAATTCACTCAGCCCCTAAGAGAGAGCAGATGTGAAAGAGCAAAGGCCCCTCTAGCAACCCCTCCTGCTGGCAGGGCTCCAGAGGGACCCATATGCATGTTCCATCATACAAGAGATGCAGAACATTGACACCCTCTTCCACCCAACCTCCCCCCACCCCCAACACCAACCATGGACAAAATCCCAGAAAACAAACGAACCTAAACAATTAAAATACAGAACTGTCGCATCTTATGCGGGGCTTAGGTTCTAAAGTCAGCATGTAAGGAGAAAATCGCATATAGTCAAAACCCCAGACCAGCAGCGAGCTGAGCTGGGCCAGTGGCCGGAACCCCAGATCCGCTTAGCCCGCCTCCGGTCTGGGGTTCCGTCCGCCGGCTCCTGCCAGCCAGGGACACTGCCCCGCTCAGCTGCTGCCAACCCAGGGTTCCATCCATCAGACTGAGCGGGGCCAGCTGCCAGGACCCCTGCTTGCAAGGGGCCGGCGGCCGGAACCCCAGAACGGCGGTGGGCTAATCAGCTCAGCCAGCTGATGGTCTGGAGTTCTGGCTGCAGGCTCCTGTTAGCCGGGGTCCAGGCTTGCAAGGGGCTGGTGGGTGGAACACCAGACCGGCGGCGGGCTAATCAGCTCAGCCAGGTGATGGTCTGGAGTTCTGGCCACTGGCTCCTGCCAGCCAGGGGACACGGCCCCGCTCAGTCCGCTGCCCGCCCGGGGTTCCGTCCATTGGGCTGAGCGGGGCCAGCAGCTTACAAGGAGCCGCTGGATAGAACTCCAGATTGTCAGCTGGCTGAGCCGCTTAGCCCGCCGCCGGTCTGGGGTTCCAGCCACCAGTCCCTTGCAAGCTGGGACCCCGGCTGACAGGAGCCAACAGCCAGAACTCCAGACCATCAGCTGGTTGAGCTGCTTAGCCCACCGCTGTTCTGGAGTTCCGGCCGCCGGCCCCTTGCCAGCCGGGGTCCTGGCCGCCGGCCCCGCTCAGCCTGATGGACAGAACCCTGGGCTGGCAGTGGGCTGAGCGGGGCCGTGTCCCCCGGCTGGAAGGAGCCGGCAGACGGAACCCCAGACCGCGCATAGTTGCATTTGCGTAAGTTAAACGCATGTATGATGCGACTCCACCGTAAAATGAAAAGCTCTACTCCACATAGAGGTTTTACCCCCCAAATGATCCAGAGAACCACAAAGTCCCCAAGGAACTGCATTACTATCTATTTTACACAGAAATGTGTGCAACACTGGGACAATTCATAGTACCTCTGGGTCTCAGTTTCCCCATGTGTACTACAGGGATAACAGCCCTGCCCTGCCGTACAGGGGTGTTGTGCAGATGAATACATTACAGATGGAGAGGTGCTCAGATACTACAGGTATGGGCAGCAATGTAGAACTCTGACAAACTCAGCTCTTCCTTGGCCAGTTGAAGAGAGAGGGAAAAAAGGGAGAATGGAGGCTCTCATACACGAAGTCCATCCACACAGAAAGGTGGAAGCTCAAACTGAGGGAAAGTGGGAAGGGAACAGCACAGAAAGGCAGAAACAGGGGGGGAGAGGAGAGTGAAGGCCAGTATGTTTGACTGCACATCTATTTTTTACTGTGTGCCAGCACTAATTAGAAGTGATTCAGAGATAAATGTGTCCCCTACTCCAGATTGAGGGAGGGAAAGAGACCTCCATTCCTCACCCTGTCCCAAAAGAAATGTCAGGTGTTAAGCACATGCATGCTGCAGCATAGTCAGGGACGAGTTGTGATGCCATTTGTTTTCTTTGTAATGCTGTA